GTTGTTTCTTTCAAAATCCGATTCTTTTATCTCCCATGTTTATAAAAGCGGCAATGTTATTGCTGAAAATGAAACCTGTTTATGAGCCTGGCCTGTTTATGATCGGTGTTCATCTTTTGGTGCAGGGAAATGGAAAGGGCTTCTCGGAGTTCTCCGGCCTCGCAGCTCATCCGGCTACCTTCCTTTCTCCAAGAAATCCTCCGACGACTTCCATTCAGTCATGTGCTTCCAGACGTCTGCAGTAAGTACTCGCATGCCTCCAATGCCTCTTCATTAAATTCTCACCTATGTCGATGCGATTTACCCACTTTACTTGTACTTGGTTTCTTGGCATCTGTGAGGATCCAAGAATCTCTTTATGGATAATGTATAACTCTCAAAGTACAAACTAATATAAGAGAATATTTTAGCAGGTTCATATGCTTGTGTGTCGTGTTTTTCTTGATACTTGATATAACGATAATTAAACAATCACGGATCATAAAATTGCTTGCACGACGATAATGTGTATATGAATCTGCCCCCAAGAACACACCCTGCATATAGTACATGAGCATATATATCTCTGTACGTATGTATTTGGCTAGGCATTTCTTCATATAAATATATGAAAGAGAGAAGAATGAGACTACAAAATGATAGAGTTATAGAGATTATGATGAGGGTGTGCTAGAGTGGAAGTGAAAAAAGAATGAATGGTATAGTAACTATGGAGAAATGTGATGTGAAGGTTAAAAGCAGTGGAGGGTACAGGAAAGGAGTAGCGGAAGCAAAACTGAAGGTGGCCATTAACGGGTTTGGAAGGATCGGCAGAAACTTCTTGAGATGCTGGCACGGTCGCAAGGACTCTCCTCTCGACGTCATCGCCATCAACGACACCGGAGGTGTCAAGCAGGCCTCTCACCTCCTCAAGTACGACTCCACCCTCGGAATCTTCGAGGCCGACGTCAAACCCGCCGGCGACACCGCCATCTCCGTCGACGGAAAGATCATCCAGGTCGTCTCCAACCGCAACCCCGCCAACCTGCCCTGGAAGTAATAATAATCACATCAACATCTCCCTCCTCGATAATAACATCTTCTATATTCAACAAATTAAACTGCTGTATTTGAATCGCAGGGACATGGGGATTGACTTGGTGATTGAAGGAACTGGAGTGTTCGTGGACAGAGAAGGAGCAGGGAAGCACATTCAAGCTGGAGCCAAGAAGGTTCTCATTACAGCTCCAGGCAAAGGTGACATCCCTACCTACGTGGTCGGTGTCAATGAAGGCGATTACAGCCCCGACGAAGCAATCATCAGCAACGCTTCTTGCACCACCAACTGTCTCGCCCCTTTCGTCAAGGTCCTTGATCAGAAATTCGGTAATTATCGTCTCCTGCCTCCTCCTTCAAATTCAACTCCGTCGTCGCCATGAGAATTTCTATCATCACCAACCCCTTGTGTCTTCTTGTTTGACAGGAATCATCAAGGGTACCATGACTACTACTCACTCCTACACCGGAGACCAGAGGCTGCTCGACGCCAGCCACCGTGACCTGAGGAGAGCCAGAGCCGCCGCATTGAACATTGTGCCAACTTCAACTGGAGCTGCGAAGGCGGTGGCCCTTGTGCTGCCAAGTCTTAAAGGGAAGCTGAACGGTATTGCCCTGCGTGTGCCCACACCAAATGTGTCAGTGGTGGACCTTGTGGTTCAGGTTTCAAAGAAGACTTTTGCAGAAGAAGTGAACGCTGCTTTCAGAGAGAGTGCCGACAAGGAGCTGAAAGGGATCTTGTCAGTGTGCGATGAGCCGCTTGTGTCGGTGGACTTCAGGTGCACCGACGTGTCGTCCACCGTGGACTCGTCGTTGACGATGGTGATGGGAGATGACATGGTGAAGGTGATCGCTTGGTATGACAACGAATGGGGTTACTCCCAAAGGGTTGTGGATTTGGCTGACATTGTTGCCAACAAATGGAAGTGATGAGCCTCTCCCTCGACCATCTTCAGACCTGGGCCGTTTTTATTTTTGTATGATTACAACATTTCTTGCTTCTTTTTTTTCCCCTTCAATTTTCTTACTAAAACCTGTACCCAGAAATAGAACCTCCAATTTTCTCTCGCCTCCTTATTCTGTAATAAAATTCTTCTCGCCTTGAATTCTGAATGTTCATGCCATGCCAGGAGTAGGAGCTTTTCTTCCTTGTTCTGTTAGCTTTGGCTTAAAACAATGGCATGGAAAATGTACACTCAACTGGTCCCTTGTTTTCATGAATATGAGTGACCCAATTTACTATCTCTCAGTAACCTGCCATTGACTCCGTTTGGCCAACAGCTTGAGTTAAAAGACTGGGATATATCGTCAGCTTTGAAACCCAATCCAGAACCCAGTTCAAGCAAAGTTCACTCAGAGATGATCGAAACGATCTGTTTTCATAATGTGATTTGTTAGCAAAAAAGACAAAAAGAAAGAAAAAAATTGAAACGAAATTTGCGCACCAGGGAAAGGCAAACCTGAACAAAGAGAAGAAAGCAACTTATAAGTCGGGCATACTTTTAGTAGTTGTCATCTTCAGCAGAACATCAAAAAGTGTATTATTTACAAATAAATTATGAATAGAAAATTTTTTAATTGATGTATAAGAATATTATAATAGAATATTCTAACTCAAGTTGCAAATGTAAGGGTGGAGTAGATGGAAATATGGTTGTGCAAAAACCAGTGATTCAGTATGGTCTGGTCTAACTTGAACAAACTTGGTATAATCTGGTACAGAAAAAAATTTGCCCGAAATAAGATTGGATTAGACTAGACCAGACTAGTCTTATCAGGCTGGACTGGACTAGGGATGACCCCTCAAACTAGGTGGTCCAATCCAGTCTAGCCTTTTTCTTTTTTAATTTTTAACTATTATTTATATAATGTTAATTTGTTTTAATTCTTTCATATAAGTTTTTTATCTATTCAAATAATCAAGATTTACCTATTAACTTCCTAAGTAATGAGCATGTGTATACATTTTCTATAATATAAGATCTATATTAATGAGGATTAATAAATAAAACATGACATTATTGAGAAATTGAAAGGGAATGATCAAATTTGATAAAGTTTGGATTAAAATAAGTGTAAAATTTTATATAGTAAGTTGCAATATTGCCTCTCATTTAAAATAAATAAATAAATTGTGATCCTACATTGGTCCAGACAGTCTAATAGACTAAGTCCAATACCAACCCGATCCAACCCGACATTGGATTCGTACTGGACTGGATGTCTGGACTAGATATTGGGTTGTTTTTTTTAGCTCGAGGTTTTTACTGGACCACACATCAGATGAATAACCAACCCGGTCTACTCTAGTCCATGCACACCTAGATAGAGATGAATGGTTCAAATCTTCCTAATATATATATTAAAAAAAAAGAATAAAATATATTCCTAAGTTTACTCATAACAAAAACAGAGTAATTTGTGTTGGACTTAAAATCATGGCGGTTTCGATGAACAAGTACACAGAAAACAGAGAAGATCGCAGCATCCTGACAAAACGGGCAGGCTATGTGAGTGTACAAATGATCATAAATATATAAGCATATATATGATAAAATGCAAAGCAAACCAGAGAATTAGTGAATTATAGAGATATTGATGGATATGAAGATTGGATGCATAATCAATTAATAGGAAGAGAGGTGTTTGGAAAAGAGACAGTGACGAGAGATCCAAACAAACATGCCCACATTCTCTGTTCACCCAATACAAGGCCAACCCATTTACATTGACAGCAACTTCGTCCCACAAAAAGTTGCTCATTCAAATAACTTTCTGTGGGATCAATAACTTATTCCTATATGTATCAGTATAAGTTCCTCATTGAAACGACTCCATCTGCTTCGAACTAACCTTCAGGTTTTGCTACTATTCGTAGTTTTCTTAATGAGAGGGGGGGGGGGGATGGTTTGAAGCAGAGGAATATGTTGTGATCTCAGTATCTCACTTCTGCTCTGTCTTTCTACGTCTCACGCCCCTGCCTTCAAATTTACTCAAACCCAAGATAGGCCCGACTGGCAATTTGGTATCGCCCGCCTTCTGCTCTCTCTTTCGCTTCATTTTCATTCTTTCCTTGTTTTTTTTTTTTTTAAAATTTAATCCAACATGCATGCATACATATATACACAGATTTGGTTGAAACAGTATTTCGAACCTAAGAAGACCGACTGGCAATAAACAATGATATGACAATATGAAAAACACCATTTGAGCCTAGAAAAACGTTCGAGGTTAAAACGCACTGTTTACGTATTTTTATTGACCACCTATATGTTTTATCATTGCCCCTTTTCACCCAGACGAAACAAAGTCAAAAAGATATGGGCACCCACCAGGATTATGGAGTCAGATGTTGATGCCCCATGCCTGATTTTCCCCATCACAAATCACGCATAAAGAAAGGTGAATACCAATATGTAACGTGCTTCAAATTCCACCACACTCATTTTTAAGTCTGATAAACAATCTTGTTAAAAACGTTCTCTTTTTCATTCTGCTCAAATTTAAACTTCGCAGGTGTTTATGTGGAAGGCTAAACCAAACGAGTAAATGAGGCCGGGTCTTGTTTACTTTTAACTTGCCTTCTTTTACTCCCAATCCCCTACGTGTCACAGGGCTACTTTGTTGATGATGATAACGCCGACGACCTAGTCAGCAAGTCCTACACTCTTGTCTCGTGTCTGTTATCGTCCTTTCACAATTTGGCCCAAAAATTCTCTCATGCCCCGCAGCTTCAATACAGCTCACGTTCGTAGTGCTGGGTGGAGCCATTGTTTACATATTCACCGTACAACTCCTTTAAATTTGGTTCTGTTTTCAAAAGCATCGCTTTCTACTTTTACCCTCTTTCCAATCCCTGTCGGTCACGTTGTCATTTCTGGGGCCGGCGGATCAGAATACTTATCTCTGCGTCCCAACTGGGGCTTGGGTACAGGTTATTATTTAAAAAATACAGGACACGTACGTCCAAGTAAAAGGTAGCACTACTGTATCGATTAAGAATAATTCACCGGAGGTAGTTTCACACTTACACGCATACACACAGTTCAGTGTTGAGATACCCGAAGCCAGAGGCTCCTAGGCCTCTGTTCTCAACCACCGATCCCTCGGAACAAATATACTGTGACATAAATAATTATATATCCATGACCGACACGGGAAGAACCTGTCCCTTATGAGACTTGTTGTAAATAAGAATGTAATGTGGTACTAGGAATAGATGATGTTGGAGTTTGAATTTAAATGTCGCGGTCTCTGGCGCATTCCGGAGGGACTTGTGGGTAACGCTTGCGATCGGTGCAGTAGTTGTAAATGGTGTATTTGCTGCGAACCCACCTAAGCCGTCGCCATTGAGCGGCGTCGAGGTCGCGGAACTCGGCCTGATCCCACCATCGTTTGCCCTGAGAGGCACAGAACTTGGCCTCCACGGAGGCCTCGCACCCGTCGATGTGGAAGCCCTTGTAGGTGGCTATGAACGGAGCTTTGGACCAGTCCGTCTTCTCCAACCCACCCCTTGTGGCCCAGTCGTCTGCATTCCACAGGCTGTTGTATATCTTCATGGGTTGGTTAAAGGGGTATTTCACTCGCAAGTCATGGCTGTTCTTGAATACCCTGATTGGCACATCATCTACGAAGAACCTGCACGAGCATTTTCATCTCTGTCATTCAATATTTCTTGTTGATGTTTTTTTGGGGGAAGGGTATGTGAAGTACTCACACTATCTGATACATGTTCCAGAGAACAGAGTATCTGTGGTATTCTTTGGAGGGATCAAACCAGAGGTAGATTCTCTGTTCTCTGTTACCCTGGCCGCCGGTGAACACGTTCGTTTGCAAAATGTACGGCTGGCCTGTTCTGTTACCCAAGAACTCAAAGTCTATTTCATCGTGCTCGGAGTTTTGGGAAGACAGCTGCACATTTCCATTCACAAGAAAAAGTCACGCAAACATGTTGCGAACCAAGAAAACACAGCACATGAACTAGGGAGTATAGGGGGGAAAATTGAAACTTGAACAGCTTCTTACATAGAAAGCAGTGACAGTGCCCGCAGAATCCCCAGGAACCATCTTGATAAACATGCTGAAGTGTCCAAACAAGTAGGATCCTTTGGACTGGAAGCCAGTGCCTGCTCAAAATGGTAGCTCAGCGATGAACAGGTTCGTTGCAGAAAGAAAGAAAAATAAACGAATGAAGATGGGAAGGTGAGGAGGAAAGTACCAGTGTACTTATCGAGATAAAGTTGAACCTCGGAACCTCCATTGAGGTACTTGATGTGATCAAAAGCCCAGGTAGGGTTGTAGTTGCGGCCAAAGGGGACGTCAACGGGCCTCCTAGGGACACCGCCGAGGGCGGCGGAGGAGAGCGAAGCCAAAATGAGAGAGAGAGTCCAGAGAGCAGAAGCCATTGAGAAGTAAGGAATGAATGAATGGTGAAGAAGACTAGAGGGTATATATAGAGGCAGGAAGCAAAGGCAGAACCATGGCATTCCCAGTTGGGCCCTTCATTCTCTCTCACTCACTTTTGTTCAAAATCCTTTGAAATTTTTGGTGGAAGAAGCGACTTAGAATCTGCATTTGAGAAGCCACCACGCGGTTTCCTTTTGATTGCTTATCCCATTCCCATTGTCCATTATTATTACCTGATCTACAGACATGTAAAACACCTGTAAAAGGAGACTAAACAAATCTTTTAGCATATGTTTACTTTATATATATATATATATATATATATCATTCTCTATTTCTCTTCCCTTTAAATATAGAAATTCACTCATGTCTTGTCCTAGACTATTCAATGAACTGTGAGTTGTGAGGCATACAAACGAAAAAGGAAAAGTGAAAAACGGAAGGCTTTCTGTTTACATCATTACAGCTTTGAAGTGTCTATGAAACGGTAATCATTTTCTTTGTCCTGCGGGCTTTCATTAATTACTGTTGTTATCATAATAATGTTTTCTGTTTAGTATTTAGTACATCATTAAAACTAAGAGTTTCTCCAAAACGTTCAATTATGATGTGTTTAATACGTTAATTTTGTTTTCCGATTCACTCCAGTGTCTTAATTATGCGCCTTGAGTGAAAACGGGTTACCATCATACCTTTCTTTAATGGTGAGCATCTTGAAAGAGGACTCCAGGCACTGTTATTTCAAGCCTAGCAAAATATTTTTCATAATATTTACATTGTTACAAAATTACTTTTGACCAGAAAAATCTCCAACGACGAAGATGAATAAGATCAATGTCAGTACACATATTAAAAATGAGCAGTGATCACATAATTCGTAACTCATAAATAATCCGTATATGGTAAAAAGCATGTCCAACTTGCATCAATACTTTTATTCTACAATTTATAAACTACTACTTCCGTTCTTAATGTAAGAACCAGTTGACTAATTTGAATAGATTAAGAAAACTAGTTAAATTAGTTATTTGTAATAGATATGTGTTGTGTTTTTTCAAATATTTTTGCTAATCAAGTATATTGACTGGAACTACTATTATTATAAGGAACTATTTTAAAAAAATAAATAAATATGAGAGACAAAATGAATTAGGGTCTTATATTTAAAATCAAAATAAAAGTCAAATAAATTTTTATATTAAGGATCGGAATCCTAAATATAAAAATTAATTTACAGTAAAACACTCACATTGATCTCTCAGCAAATGAACATGCCAGTCATTATGTACAATAACGTGCTGAGAAATCCCTTTTCTTTCACCCAAAAAAAAAAAAATAACGTACTGAGAATTACGTGTTTGCTAAGCATATCACATCAAGCATCCTGAAAAAGAGAAAAAAAAATCAATCTACCACTTCCTAATTCTCTGTTTTGATTCGCTTTAAAAGGCAGCAAGTGAACCTACATGTTATCGTTTCCAGAAGTGAGAACATGACAGGTAATTCTTTTTTTTTTTTTTTTTGGGGGTTTTGGGGGGGGGGAGTTCATGGTCAATATTTTCAATTAAAACGTAACGTAATAATAACATAGCAAGTACGTAAGTTTTCAGATAATCATGCTTTTACTGAGTGTGAGTTCCTGTATCATAATTTAACTTAATTGACAAAAAAACTTATTAAAAGTAAAAAAAATAATTATAAAGTGAATTTAAATGCATCTAATGATGATAAAGATGGGACCAAAGTGTCTATGGTTACAGGCACAGCATCCCATGGGAGGTTTTTGGTCCGTTAGGTTGACGAACCAACCACCAATTTCAAGATTCGAATGCCAATTTCCCAACTTGGCATCTTCCATACCCAATAATTAATCCCATTCCGTGCTTTAACCTCCCACTCTAATTACCCCATTATCGTATATATAATCATGCCACATGCATAATTATTCTTTCCTCATAATCAAATAGCTTCCACGTATCCTTAATATTCTTGGGGTTTTTTTTTTTTGCATGCCCGAATCATCTGTTCTTGATTTCTCGAATCATTACTACAACAACACCATATATAAAACATCTAATTACTCCAAGCAAATCTGATCACTGGTGATATATAGTTGATGAATGAATTGAGAACTGGGATTATTGTGTGAGGAAAGACAGAAACACGGCATGTGAGGCGAGTGAGTTTGAGGAACAAGGGAAGGTCGTGTGATTTGATATTAAGATAAGCAGCGTTTTAGAAATAAATGGATAGGATTATTGGGGAGGGACTGATAATTTTAGCATTATTGGCTGGTTTGTACAGCTAGAAATACAACCCTTTGAGAATGGCCTCTTGATTGGTTCGGACCAAGAATCAAATAAATGCTCACCACCTTTGGGAGATTGTATGCAGTCATAAAACTTAGCAATGTAATCTGTACGTAAGTCCAATCAAAATCTTCTCTAGCTGTCTTATATATGAGCTCCAATTTTGAAAAATGCACGTTTTGGGGCTGGAGGAAAAAGCTGAGAATTGGAGACAAACATAACATGCGATGTATTGCACCTGAAGATCACTTAGGTCAGATGAATGCCCTCCTCTTAATTTCTGACGATACACCCTACCAGAAACTCCACCATTCACTCGCAAGTCCAATAATTGATACAGATCAAATTGAGTTTGACTTCAAGCTGAGCCTAACGCTACCTTCGTGTCTTGTTATAAGAACTTGTTTGATTTTTAATTTGATCATAAATATAAGACCTCAATCTACTTTATCTTTTATATTTATTCATTTTTTCAAAATAGTCTTTATAATAGTTGCATGTGTTAAATGTTTTATTAAATAGTAATTTTAGCTAATATGCAAGATTAGCAAAGGTATTTTAGGAAAGATCATACCTATTTATAACAAATAGCTAACTTAATTAATTTTTTTAATCTTCTCAAATTAATTAACTAGATCTTAATGACAGAAAAATAGTATATACACATGGAATAAACACAAAGAAAGTGGCAGTAGATAGGGAGAAGTGGACTGTTATTGGGGAAGCTTTAATAAGATGGATTATAAATTTAGGAAGAAGATAACTTTATGTTACGTCAAAAGCAATTAAGAAACAGATAATATGACAATATGGATGGGGGGACTGGAAGACTGAATATGAAGTGGGGATTAGCTGGCCTTGATTAACATTCAACAGAGCATGCACAGCACAGCTTTAACTAGTTTGCTGAATGATATATATATATATATATATATATATATATATATATATATAAGTGTAATTTCACAATTATTGAGTTTGGTATGTTACATTATGTCCAGTTCAACATTTAATGTTCTCTCAGTTTCCAGTTCCAGCGCGCCACCACATCTGCAAGATAACACTACATCATCATGCGTGTTTACTGCTAATGAGATTTCTTATACTTACTTGATTTACTCTAAAAGTTTCTTATGTTTCTCAGAAATTCAAATTCTTCAAAAGAAGAGTAATTGAACCAGACAGTTTCATATGGTAGATTATGTGCTAAATTGAAGATAGAAAATGAGGTGATTTTTATTGGAAAAAGAAAAGAAATCCCGAGTGGGTGAAAGATAAAGTCAACACGTCATTGTCGACTCAACTCATCGTACATTTAAAATGATTTTTTTTTAATAAAAAATTTCATCTCAAAACTTCCTTCATTCTTGTTTGCCCCGACCAGGATTCATTTTCATCCCCCGAGTTCCATTTGAATGACTTCAGAGCCTGTTTGGGAGAGGGAAAGAGAATGAGCAGATTTTCTTTTTTATTATGAAATTTACAAATTGTTTATTTCAAAAGATCATTAATAATAATTACTTATTGTTTCATTTAGAATCGAGGCGTTTGAATGGTAAATATTCATAGTTTGACTGATATATGAATAGTAAATACAAATAGTGATAAAATACTCCTCCAATCTTAAATGTAAGACCTTATACTAGTATGTATAATAACCTTATATTTAAGACCGGAGGAGGATAAAATACCTTAATAATTAATTTATGAATTTCATCTTTGAATACAATTCTCCCGCTTAAAAAATTAGCAATGCCCAATGGTGCCTAGCGGCGGACTATGTGGAGATGTCTCATTTGCTCATAAATTCTATTTAGTTTAACATACCATTATTTACATCGTATTAAATGAAAACTGTGCGACGATATTTATAATTTATGTTAACAATCAATGTTTTCAAAAGAATAATATTCTTTATTTAAAAAGATTCCGAGCATGAACGACATTTACTTGCAACCAAAAAGCATAACTGTAACCGTATTTGCTTTCACTGAGCAATCGCCAATGTTCATACTGTACTGTCTACAACAGGAGAAAAAAAATTCAAATACTATATAACTAAAAAAATAAATAAATGAATGAAAATTGGGAAGAAAAAAAAAAGAGGAAAGAGAAGACCCATAATCTCTGATCTCTCCCTCTCTTCCCTCCACTTCTCCTTCTCCACCAACTCTCTCATCCAATATATAGAACAGAAATATACACAGAACTCATCCCAATTGAGTAAATTATCTTCTGATCCTTGAAAGATAGTATGCCATTTCTCAATCGAATCACGGTATGCTTTGAACCCAGCACTGTAGAATAAAATTGCAGTAAATATTGAGATCATCAACAATTCAATTGATGAATCCAAAAATTCAGGGGATGAACTGAAAAAAAGCTTTTATCTTTCAAGGACCAAAATAATTTTTTTACTCCTACACATGTCCAAAATGGTTTTATCAATGTGACGAACCGAACTCTCCTAGAATAGCCAGTGCTTTCTCCTTGGTTTATGCTGGATCGGTGCATCTACATTGAAGATGATAAAACAAATAGTCAATTCATAAAGTCGTGTTCAGTATTCCGACCAAAAAAGCCACTTTTGGGAATTTACGGCGAACCAACCTCGAATTTCGTATAGCGAATTGTAATGAACCTCAGACCAGAAGCTCAACCACAACTCTGCATCATTAAAATATGAAAAGAATGCTCTCATCAACGCATTTTTTCATAATCTGAATTGCTAACAAAATATCCTTTTGCATCGATTCATGTTTAACTGAACAAGTGTTTTGACCATGGTGATGAGTAATAATAGTCTTACCACGCTTTGGCGCTTGGTACTGTGGCGTAATTTCAATGAAACAAGTGTCTCTGAATGATGTTAAAAGGCATATCTTCGCTGCAAACTAAATTACAAACAAGCCAGGTTATATTACATTCTAACAGCTAACGGTAATACACAGCAAATCAAGGAAGAAAAATAGCTGAAATTCAATTGCTTTATAGCGCATATGTATATGCTCTCCACCAATTTCCAGATGCGGAACTTGGATCACAACACAAATGATCTAGTATAATATAGCATATCAAGTTATAGATGACTCCACCCTAAAGAGAAGAGGATAATACAAACGCAAATAGAAAAGGAAAAGGGGAATTTTGAACATAACGCAGATCACGATTTAATGATGTAAAATGCAAATTCATTATACTCTTTAGTTATTATTAGGGGCAGTGAATGATAAAGTAAACGTACCCTATATATAAATATATATTTTTGCAAAAAGCATACAAGCACATGTCCAAGCATATGTAAAGGGTAAATTTATCATTCTACCTAGTCACTACCAGTGACAGCAAATGATAAGATACAATGCGAAAACAATAGTTACATTCACTACGCATGTGTGAGTCATCACCATCTCCCAGCTGATCGGTAATAATCATCATTCCCATTATGATTATTATAAAAACATTAACCTATCAGTAATAAACAACTCGGAACAAAGTATTAACTGATTTTGCCGCATTCCATAGAAGAATTGAACTTTCATCTCAGTTAAAACAGCAGTGTATGGATAAAATGAAAAAGAAAGAAACAAACACTAATCAATTTACCGAATCCCACAGAAGGAAAGAGCTTATTTGAAAACAGCGTAACACACCTTATCAGCAGCTGCCTGTAAGGTAACATGGTCCCCCCATTCTCCAGATCTGTCATGAGAAAGATAAATGGAGAATGGTGTAAGTTTCACATCAGCAAACGCAAGGAAAAAAAAAATTTGAAGAACCGATAAAGGCAATGGCTCAATGAATATATAATGGTATCAATAAAAATTTGTCTGAAAGACACATACTTTGCCATTTTCTTGTAATATCGTTTGTACTTCATGGGGACATAGCATTCATACAAGGAGCGATGGTCTTTGAGCTGGCAAAGAGAAATTTTGGGCAAATAAGCATTTCAAATTGTCTAGGTATCATTTTAACAGAACTATCAAATTCCATGCTTATCTACCTAAGGCAAGAGACAATTTGTATGATCACAACATATAAACAATTTGTATTTGGTTTATCAATGTATGTTATCTCTTTTATTTCCCTCTCTTATATGTTCAGTTAAGATAAGCATCCTTCACATGCATATTAAACGTGTCTTGGGTTTATCAATGTATGTTATCTCTTTTATTTGCCTCCCTTCTATGTTCAGTTAAGACAAGCATCCTTTACAAACATATTAAACGTATCTTGGACACTTAAAAGAATCAAACTCGAATTATGCCCCCTATCTGGAGGATGCAATCACCAATTAAAACTCACTCATGTATAGATAAATTTCAACCGTTAATTTAGTTAAAAAAAATCGTAACCCAAGAAAACCAGATGTCCTCATAGCCAGTAACATGTATTTGGCTAGTGCTTTCTGAGTGGACATACCTGTTTCACAATCTCTTTCCGAACATTCTTGTGGTATTCAGGTGACCTATACAGCTGTTCTGAAAGTGCACGAAACTGCAAGATTGGGAGAACAGTTAATAAATGTTCTAAGCAGATAATTTTAGAAAATTGTTGCCACAAATAATACCTGACAATTTCCATCTCCAGAAACTTTGACTTCACATAGACCATACATGTTCAACCTATAAAAGTCAAGAGAGACGGGTTTAGTACCTCCAATCAAGAGTAAATATACAGCAGGAATGGGTTTATAACATTGTACTAGCTGATCCCTCATTATTTGTGTCAATACATCATTAGATTGAGCAATTTTCATTTGAATGCCCACTTTATATACATATAGTTTCTAAATCTCTCGATATAAAGAAGAAAACGCACTACTTGTTCGACCACTGATGTATTTAATCATGCATGACGACCACTTGCTCATTACTATTTCAGCCATCTTTTATCAGACTTTGAAGCTTTATAATATTCCCTGTCAAGAAATAGCTGAAATACACAGCTGCAAAGTGGCATACCTCTGAAGAAGGCGCTGGTGATCCATACTAGCATCATTTGTGTCAGGTATGAAGGAATTAATCCGGGGCACATGCTGAAATTTTAGTCAAGCACAAAATTTCAGACAAATTTCTCTTCCACCTCCTTTTAAAAAAGGTCAATAATCTCTCCTCCATAGTCATTACTTGACAACTATAAAGAAAGTTCACTTTTCTTTGAGAGGACAGTGCAGAATACCATAACAAAGTCATTAAGAACCATATCCCAAAGCAGCAAGATAATAATAGAAAATATCAAGAATGCATGACAGATCATGATCCTCTAAAAGATTTAAATTACCCCCACTCAGCTGAATCTTAGCGATAGTTTTTCTTTTTGGCCTTTGAATTTATGTGTTAAGATATGCATAATTAGCATCATAGTTTACCTAACAGGCAATTGAGTGATTTGCGAAGAGGAGATTAAAACTGGAACCTAAATTAAGCATGACCATAGTATGACCAGAATTGGTGGAAAATTCAAGTAAAAGGCATTGTTAGATAATCTGGGCAATAACGGAGTTGTAAGAATTCTTACAGGAACGGGTGCCAGGTTGGAAAGGCGCCTACCAACTGCGCCATCTAATTTGGCATACTCTTCAGATAACATGACAGCAATCATGCGGTCATCCTCAATATCATGTTGACTACTGAGAGAAGTTGAACTCGAACTTTCACCGATATACTGAGTTCCGTTCATCATATCTTGGGATGGCAATAACCAAAAACTTTCAAGCAAAAGCCAACTTTACAATGATCCTGAGTTAATAAGCCTGCAACGATTGAAAGACCTTTGCCCATTAGAACTCTCCACAATCGTGGGTTTTTCCACACGGGAAATTTTAACATTAAGTCTTAATACAACACCACATACGAAAGAAGCACAGACTGTTTATTAAATTACATATATAAGAATATTTATCCAGAAGACTAGAAGAGTACTTTGAGAAAAGCGTTTTGCAATATCATGATGATGATGAACCAATTGTGACAGCGTAAATCACACAGGTCAGACAGCACCCAAAAGAAAAGAAACAGTAATTCTTTATGGTGAAACTAAATAGAACTCAACCTTCTAAGGTTACCAAACCTTTCATGACTGTAGATGATCATTTTCGTTTTTGACCTGAGCAGATATTCAAAGTAAACAACGCCACGACAGGTCAGGACCTAATATGACGATAACGTGCGCCCTGCACTGTAATGACTCATTTCAGCAATAATGCTGCAATGGACATTAAACGGAATTTGATATGACTGGTTGACTTTACGGTTTTGGAGAAAATGAATTCCAGGCTCATATGGAAAGAAAGTCAAAGGTCGAAACCCAATAGCTTTTCGAGTGATCAGAGGTGGGTTTACAAAAATGGCTGCTTGACTTGAAGCATAAAAATTAGAAAAACAAAATCAGATCTAAGCAATTGATTATTGCACAAGTAGGAGCTTTCTGCCCAACACCAAGAAAAATGAAAAATGAAGTGAAATGGCATGAATTCAATATCACGATTCACAGGAATCCAATTTTAGAGGACGAAGACGAGAAGCAAGAAAGCAAGCATTGATATCGATCAAATCAAGAACATCCAGGAATCAAGAGAACCCGATAACAACAGTGGCAATAGGAACAACACGAGACAAAAGAATAAGGAAAGAAGAAAACACCTGCAAGTCTGCTGCGATTGAGAAGCAAGAATGAAGAAGGAAGCGATGTGAGAGGATTAGACGGAGGAGGAAAGAATATGGGAAAGAAGAGATATTTTCAAACTCGCGTTTTAGGTGGGATAAAGCGTGGGCACATTATGCACTAAACCGGGGAGCTAATAATACCCAGCCGATTTTGTGAGAGTAATAATAAGGAATAGAAATGGACAACAAAATGGAAACGCCCCAACCCAAGTCGGAGAGAATTAAATATTGGAGCGACGTGGCTACCAATGGTTGGCGGTTGAAAGGATCTGGTTGAAATTCGCGGGTTTCCGAGTCAGACACAGGTTGTCGGGAGTTGGCGAGTCTCGACTCGGGGCGCGTAACGTCTCACCGGTTAGCGGGCCCCACCCTCGGATGTTTCCGTCAGAGAGAGGCCTCCCTGAACAAAAGCTTCCTAGCTGAGTCGCCTCTTCCCCCTCCGCTCGCAGGGGAAAAAAAAAAAAAAAAAATTCCTGAAAGCGTCTCTCTCTAATGTCTTTCCGGCTCTTACCCAATTCGATGTTTTCGTCTTCCTAAACCCAAACAGGTTTAACGATGGAGCTGAATTGAGCCGTTCCAAGGAACAGAATTTGGCGCGAGAAGGCGCCTCCTAGGGTTGCGATGGCTGAATAAGCACAGGGCAACGGATGGCCAGGATTGCGCAAAAACGGACAGTCGAGATGCAGTTAAGCTTCGCAGTTGACGTGGCGCGACTGGCTTCAAAATTTTTGGCGCAACGGCTTTGAGAAAAAGTGAAAAACAGTGGGTTTTGATTTTTTTTTTTTTAAATTTTTGGCGCTTATTGGGGGTTTAGGTAACAACATACGTAAGGGTAATTAACCTAACACGGGAATTTCTTGAATCACTTTAAACAGCCACACTTTCCGGTTTCAATTATATCTGCCTTTTCCCTAGCTTTGCAAAACGTTTCATTTTATTTACCCCGCAATTTACATGCATTTAAATTATATAAAATTCAGTATAATGATCTGGTATGTTTGGTACGACGGTCTTGATGAGAGAGAGATATAGACGCGTAAAATGGAGAAAAAAGAGGGTGATGCATTCAAACGGTCTATATAAAATGAGTCTGATTCAAGCATCTTACGTATATTAGTTAAAAGTTTGTTATAATATCACATGTGTACAATTTTTGTTTGAAACTCTTCATACATCTCCTTAAAAAGAGACAATATTATAATAAATTAGTTCCTTATAAAATTCAATTGTGTAGAATAAGAAAATAAAAACAAATATGACTGAACTCGATCGTTAATCTATTTCACAGGCCTAGGAGGATATGAAATGAAAATTGAGAGAAAATTACCTGGAGACGAAGCAGCTTCGGACTAATCCCAAAAGAAAAGGGAGGGACACAACACAGAAACGGCTCGTAAGTCGTATCTGTATTCTATTATTGGATTCCCCGCAAAATCGTTGTCGAGATCATATTTATTTTATTACCGGTGCAAAAGCAGTATGAATTTTATTTAGGAATCAGCCCCAACACATTTATCATACCCAGAAAAAAAAGACATATTTAAAAATTTTATCATTCTCCAGGCGCATCAAGATCCTTAGATCCGCGTCTAGTTAAAATTAAAATGAATAATAAATAAATAAACTAAATTATTATTTTTCTTCTTCTTTTTAAGAAAAAAGGAACTTCAGTGGAGGGAGCCGTTACTCCTTATCAAATGATTATGTTTGCTTCTAATTTTTTCTTTGGCCCCTTCCGCAGATGGATTTTCCTTTTCTTCCTCAATTCACAGCCAAGTTTCATGCTTGTGTTTGGTACAGTTATTACAAATTCCCAAAATCCATATGATATGAGAAATGTACATCTTACTTAGGATTTGGTTTTAGCGCTCTATACACGACTTTCATGGTAATGGATTTACAGAGCCAAACCACTATAATCACACCATCCCCAGCTGCTATGGCACTCCCAGTATATCTCCAACTGTTAACTGTTCATTCGTATAAAAGAAAGAAAGAACACGCCCACGAGACTTCTCAATTCTTCTCGTCTTCTACGGTATCAGCATCAGAACTCTTCGCATTATAACCCCTGCTTGTGGGTCTTCCTTATTCTGTAATCTGAGTTCTATCACAAACACCAACAGGAGCTTAACCCAATAACGATGATTTATATCTGGGTGACTCTAGAACTCATCCAACGTTATTCTTCAACATCTCCTCCTGCTGCCTCTTGATTGACTGTTGCTTCTGCAACATCATCTCCTTGCGGAACCTCTTGATGAACAAATCCGCCACATGGTCAATTTCGTCCTCCAGTTTGAATTCTTCCCCTGCCTCCTCCTTCGAATTCTTCACCATATCAATAACAGAGCCTCCGAAATCCTCCGAGTCAAACAGAGTATGGGTCAAATCCGGGTACTTCTCATCCTCCTCTTCCTCCTCGTACCTATAGCAGCTTTCATACCCATCCTCACTTCTCCCCTCCACCAAGTTCGTCTCCATGGGACTGGGAATAGCCTCGTAGCAGTGGTCATTGTCGTCATGGATCGCCATGGCCTTGCTCTGGTCTCTTCTACCCTCCAGAAAGCTGTCTTCTTTGGGATGGGAATGATGGCCCAGAACGGATTGCATTTTGTGGGAAATAGAGCTCATCAGAAACTTCTTATTCCTCAGCAATGAGAATATGATCAGTCGCGCCTTGATGGCGTTTGTCTTCGTCTTCAGAGCCAAGGCTTTGGACTTTGCCATTGACTTCAGAGTAGCTATGATCTGCTTCAACAACACAGGTGCTCTGTTCTTCATCTGTTCCCCCCTGTAAAAACTGCACACCCACAGTTTGCAATACAGTTTATGAAGTAACCCAAGTGGAAACAAGCAGACCAATATGGGATTTTGCGGCTAGATTTGCAGATCGCTGTCAAAAAGTTTTATGTGGGAACTCTTTTGTGTGCGAATGATTGATCGATGGATGAAGAAGGAGAGGTTAAGAAATATCAAGAGGGATGGTTTGTACTGAGCTTGTACTTTGCTGGTGTAAAGCAGTGATTTGGCATGAAACACTACAGGGTGGGCAAATGGGCTTTTATAGGGAGGGCGAGAAATAATGTAAGCGAAGGAAGATTGGTGGCTAAGGAAAGGGGGTAGAGAGAGTGCTCGAAAAAGCAAAAAAGTGAAGGTGACAGGTGGCCTTTTTAAATTGGCCTTGGGAGTAATAATGGGGTGGTGGTGTACGAAGCCTTGGGGGTCATACAGCAATTTGCCTCTTCTTCAATTAAAAATTTGAGTATTTGATTTCATCAAAAGCAGAAATAGATATTGAGATGGCGCCTCTTGATAAAGGCAGACGAATTTTATTAGATCTTTAGCCATTTCCATTGGGCTCCTTCAATAATTTGAGCCCTGTTTCGTGGGGGAAGAGTGAAGACCTTTGAAGCTTTTGAGGAAGTGAGAAGAAGAAAGAAAAAATTGGTGGGCCTAACTCCATTATATGTTCCACAGCACAACTGCTGTTCAAATCTTGACCTTGAGGTTTCCTATTGTTTTAGGCTTAATGACTAAAATAACCATCTGCTTTTGACAATTACAGCTTCTTTCTCTCCATACTAAGATGGTACAAATGACATTGTGTCTTGGTCGATATGTCTGTTAGAGATTCTCTTTCGTTTGAAATAAGAATCTCATTTTTGCTGCTCTCTTAGACTATTCAGAAATTCTGGGCCACTCTTGCCGCAACAACCAAAATTTTAGGACTCGGTTGAAAACTTAACCCCTAAGGTTACATAATATCTCCACATTTTTCATTTTTCATTTGGATCCTACCTGCTTCTAAGTGTCCCCTTGCTGCTTGTTTTTTAGTGAGTCTTGTACCAAACAATAGTAGGATATTTCAGGGAATGGAATTGCAAGGCGCGCTTCTGCATTACTTGCCCACCAGTAATTAATAAATAAATATATCACTATATATATGCATATATACAATGAAACTTGTACATAAATAACTGCACATTATTTGCACATTATATCATTATCCATACAACGTTATACACTAACTTTACTCAGGCTCTGTGCAAGTTTAATAGAAGTGGATTCTGCTGGTACAAGTAAGGTGTTGTGCGCAGAACTTCTGTATGATTTTGTAATTCTCCCCAAAAACCCCACGTAAAAAGAGTTTTAATTAGGAAGAAATTATATATATTTATGTACTCCTCTAATCCTTAATATAGGACCCAATTCTTGAGTTGGTTTTGGTCCTAAATATAAGATCTATTTATCATATTTATCAATTTTCTCTAAATTACCCCTATGGATACTCTCTCAATCATAATCAAGTAGAAGAGGGAAATGAGGTATTAAAAAAGATGATTATGGTGTTTTGGGAAAAATGTGTCACTTTTTTTATAATGAACTAACTTACCTAACTTTCTTAATCTAATCAAATTAGTTAAATAGGTCTTATATTAAGAATGGAAGGAGTATATATATATATAAAAAAAGCAACCGGGCTACTTTATAAACGGCCAACTCCATTTTATAAAGCATGTATAATAATATAGGCATGCGTGCATGTTTCCCAACCACATGTGAATATTGGTCCCTCCCCAAAACCTAATCTTTATTTTTCACCCAAAGGGCAACACGTAAATTGCAGTGGACGTGTTTCGCAACTCGATCCCAAGCACAAAATATGAAGCTGGCAAGCTGTGCGTTACCATATGTAGTTTGTGTAATAAAATAAGCAAACTTTTCCCATCCATACACACGCTTTTGAGAGCTTTACGCAGTTTCAAATATGGCAGCTAGGTAGCTAGGGTTTGATATGTTTGTATGAAGAATCAAAGAGAGAAGAGACGCGGGTGCTTTCTAAAAGTAACTAGAAAAACACATGCATCGATCTTCCCCTCTCCCCTCAACATTCTCATTTGACCTAATTAAAGCAGACGCACCACACCAGTCCTTTTTAATCAACTTTGTGGAGATCTCACGGGAAGGGTCTGGGTGGTGCAGTATTGTCTGTAAAGACCAACTTGGTTCATTAATTTAATCAGCCTTTGATTCTGGATATTTTCGAAGTAATAATAAACAATAAACAACGTATGTCGTGGAAAGCCTCGGCACTATATATGAAACGAACATAACGTTGAATTAATTCTCCAAATTAATCCAGTTTTCTGGTGCGTTTGGTAATCTTCTTTAGGATTTCCTCTGCTTTATTCTTATGTGGTGCTTTAGTAAATAAACTTGCACGCAGGAGTAAATCATGATCGATCGTTATAAAGATGGAATATAATATAATGTTGGGTTCTTTTTATATGATATCAGCTTCTTCCTGTGGTGAGAAGATATTGACAGCATATTGATTAAGATGAACTGATTATTATATAACTTTTTTGGAGCTTCTAAGCACGCAGCTTTCAATGTGTATAAACTCCTAGGCTGTAAAGATCAGTTCGGATAGTTAATTAATGGGAGGAAATTGTAAAAGTTTGTAGCAAAAAGTCTGAGAGCATTGAAGGAACAACAACGTTGAACGAAAGTTTCACCTCAAACGTTCACACAAGTACACATATGCAACATAATTTTAACTTTTGGTTTGCCGACCTAATTTAATTTCCTGCAGACGAGAACTGACTACGCTGATTTAAGCAATGAATCTTACTCTGCCAAAAATAAAAGATGAGATGTGATTCTATCTGCTCGGTTAATTCGGGTGGTTCCAGGCCAGTAATGTTTAAATGGTGAAAATTTCTTAACATAATTAAATAGCAGGCATGAAGTTATTTTTGGTTTATATGAGGATGTAAGTGCAGATTTAATAACTTGTTTTGGCTACTTGTATTTAGAACTATCAGTAAATTAAATAAATAGACGAGAGAATTTACAGAGAGAGTAAAAATTGGATAGGGACATAACTTTTTTTAACTTTAATTGGACGGTGGAGCAGGTTTACAGCGATTATTTTCCTGCAAGATTCCTTGTTCTAGACTCTCCCTCAAGGTTCCTTAAGTGCTTAACCAAAGCAAACTCGCCCCCCAAAAAAAAAAATCTTTTTCTACCCATCCTCATCGCAACACTCGAAATTATAGTAAATTATCTTTTCCAGTCCACAAAATAAATATACAAATGGCAGTCATGCTGATGGAAATTAAATCATAGTTTTAAAAGTATTTTTACAGTTTATAAAATAAATATATGAAGGATTTTGTCTCATTTTGTGAAAAAATATTTCTTAGAAGCACTTTTGAGGGTTGCCAAACACTCCCTAGATATAAAACCTATTTTGTAGTGTGATTTAGGAATGAGTAAGATTTTTTTTTTTTTACATTATGTTTGAGTTTTATTTATTATTACATTTAATTAATTAAAAATAGTATTACTTTAATTGCCACTTCGGTGTTTAACAAGGGTTTGATGACCGCAAGAGAGATAATGAATTTTAAAAATCAGTAATATGATAGTATTAAGTTTAAAAAATTCCCCCAAAAAAAACTTGTTTTATGTTTAAATTTCGTCAAAAAGTTAAGAAAAGGGCACCGCCCCAAAAAATTATATTCCTTAAAAAATAGAGTCATGTTATTTATCAATTTTAAATAGAATAATATTATGTAAATTATATTTATATGTTATTAAGGTACAAAAATATTTGGGAATTTTAGGAGGAGGTATTAGCACCCTTAAGTATGATACAAAGTACCCTCAAACCCTCGAAATTTTTTGCCCCATCTTGTTAATTCGGTGTGATGTTTGTTAAGAAAAGACTGTGAGTCCTAATTGTTGTGCCATATATATATAAAAATAAGATAAAATAAAAAATATTCGTAAAGTATGATATTATGGAGTGGTGCAATATTTCCCCAAACCCTTAGAAAAATAAAAATTCCTAACCCAAAATAAAAGCGTACGTCGGTAACCATTGAATATGAATGCCATAAATATTAAAATTTCACTTAATCCGAACTATTGAATGTGTAGAACATTTCCTAGTTTTTTTTTTTGTGGCCGAAAAAACATTTCCGAGTTTATACCCAGGGTTTTTTTTTTCCCAAGGCAAAGAAATTTATTAGGCCAATTAATTTGTTACAAAATCTATAGGCGTTGAGGTTATGATAAAAACAAAAATAAAAATAGCAGGAGACTGTAAATGAAATGAAAGTCTACCAACATGGTCAGCTTTTGTCGCAATTAACCGGGCCGAAAACAAACTAAAAGTGGGCCAACTCGACCCCGCTGTATCCGTATTGCTTAAGTGTCTTGTTTAAAATAAGATGAAAATTATTTTATCGAATTAAAATAATAAAATAAAGCATTAACAGTGGATGATAATAGATTAGATACATAATAAATTGTGCACATTACATATACTACATTTTCCCATGCGTTTTAAAAAAAGAGTGTTTATTATGATTACAAATGGGGACATCAGTATTGTGCTTATGATTGTCCTGAACTAGGATCAACATGAGAAATGTGATGGGCTAGTGTTTTTTTTAATACAAGCCCAGTATTGAACCATGTGAAAAAGAAAGTTAGGATAGATTGGTAATCAAAAAATTTCTACATATCAACGGGATTGGATTTAGCAGAATAGGCTAGTCTTCCACAACCTGTTAAACTAAACTTTTAATCCCTGCTAGGAGAAGTGTGCACATCTAGTGTCCAATAGTGCTTCAAATATGATTACATCCAATAAGAGGATACCCGTGCCTACCAAAACAAGAAAAAAGATTTTTACATCTTATAGATAAAATTTTGACATTGGAGTCATTATAATGAGCACGATGTGGCATATCTTATAGCTTTTCTCGCAACCTGATCTCTCATTTTCCTGATAAAGTTAAAGAGGGGTGGGTCTCAAAATCCTCATATTGGATGAGGTTGAGAGTCTCCAAAAGATTGGAGTTGAGATTAACTGCGATGAGGAT